TAGTGATGATTCTGTATGATCATTGTTCTGTGTCTGTTTAAATCACCATTCTGTTGTCCTACCTGTAGTGATGATTCTATATGATCATTGTTCTGTGTCTGTTTAAATCACCATTCTGTTGTCCTACCTGTAGTGATAATTCTGTATGATCATTGTTCTGTGTCTGTTTAAATCACCATTCTGTTGTCCTACCTGTAGTGATGATTCTGTATGATCATTGTTCTGTGTCTGTTTAAATCACCATTCTGTTGTCCTACCTGTAGTGATGATTCTGTATTATCAATGTCCTGTATACATCCGTCTGGGGACAGCATCATTGATCTAAACACCATCACCTCAAGACTTGTACAAATCAATGTTGATTATGATACAGTCTTTAATGAAACAGACATGAGTTCTAGTCTTCTCTTTAGTGGCTGTACAATGTCATTAATAATTGATAGTGATGTTTGGTAAAGATTGTGTTATGTACTGGACAGTGTATAATGATGTGAGTGTCACTGTCTGGTGATCGGAGGACGTATTTACCTATGAGACTCGAGTGGGGCATCTGTTGCCACTAGAGGTTTGTAATTACTGCTGGAACCCTGTAATTGCTGCTGGAAACCTGTAATTACTTTCAATGTAATTAGTCATTATAAGAATCATTTAGAACAGTTTCACTGGGACACTCTCCGAGATGTTCTATGATACTCTGGGCACTCCAGAGTACACTCCAGGACAGTAGAAAAGTATGCTGCCTCTGATTGGAGGGTGTACAACAAATATTGTAATGCTGTCATAATTCCTGGTCATTGTGGCTGGTGATTGGTGTACCCTCTTGGGAATTTTAGCCAATCACTGACAGGTGTGCTTTATTGATTATCCTTAACGATGTCCAGATTTTGTATGTGTCCAATCAGTGTCTAAAGAAAGAAGATATTGATGACTTTACTAATGTTGTTTCATTAGGTGTGACAAATAGCCTACCTGTGTGTCTTTACAGTCTAATAACACATAATATACAGCTTACACATGTACTCTTACAATTGAGACCAGCGATACAAAAATCTGTCATCCAATGTTCCAGACTGTTTTGTAAATATTAAAGTGTTAATGGGTTAAAATGATAAAATAAATACTTGGTTACAAGAAATGTTTACATTTTGGTTTTTTTCCATTATTAATGGAAATAAGAACAAAAATGAGGTTTTGAAAATTTTACATTGGAGAAAATATATGAAAATCCTAAATGATAACATCTATGACATTACATATCCTTTATCAAAATATGACGTTAATAAATTTCCATTAATATGATTGTTTACAATGGTAAATCACTGTCAAGGAGTGTTACTTGCTAAAAGAAGGACTTATGTATAAGGACCCTCCAGTAGACAGACTCTGTACTAAAGACCCTTCCATAGACAGACTCTGTACTAAAGACCCTTCAATAGACAGACTCTGTATTAGAGACACTCCAGTAGACAGACTCTGTACTAGAGACCCTCCAGTAGACAGACACTGTACTAGAGACCCTTCAATAGACACAATCTGTACTAAAGACCCTTCAATAGACATACCCTGTACTAGAGACCCTCCAGTAGACTGACTCTGTACTAAAGACCCTTCAATAGACAGACTCTGTACTAAAGACCGTCCAATAGACAGACTCTGTACTAGAGACCCTCCAGTAGACAGACACTGTACTAGAGACCCTTCAATAGACACAATCTGTACTAAAGACCCTTCAATAGACACAATCTGTACTAAAGACCCTTCTGTACTATAGACCCTCCAGTAGACAGACTCTGTACTAGAGACCCTACAGTAGACAGACTCTGTACTAGAGACCCTCCAGTAGACAGACTCTGTACTAGAGACCCTCCAGTAGACAGACTCTGTACTAGAGACCCTCCAGTAAACAGACTCTGTACTAGAGACCCTCCAGAGACCCTCCAGTAGACAGACTCTGTACTAGAGACCCTCCAGTAGACATACTCTGTACTAGAGACCCTCCAGTAGACAGACTCTGTACTAGAGACCCTCCAGTAGACAGACTCTGTACTAGAGACCCTCCAGTAGACAGACTCTGTACTAGAGACCCTCCAGTAGACATACTCTGTACTAGAGACCCTCCAGTAGACAGACTCTGTACTAGAGACCCTCCAGTAGACAGACTCTGTACTAGATACCCTTCAATAGACAGACTCTGTACTATAGACCCTAGACATACTGTATAGACCCTCCAGTAGACAGACTCTGTACTAGAGACCCTCCAGTAGACAGTAGACAGACTCTGTACTGTACTAAGAGACCCTCCAATAGACAGACAGACCCTCTAGACAGACTCTGTACTATAGACCCTCCAGTAGACAGACTCTGTACTAGAGACCCCACAGTAGACAGACTCTGTACTAGAAACCCTCCAATAGACAGACTCTGTACAAGAGACCCTCCAATAGACATACCCTGTACTAGAGACCCTCCAGTAGACAGACACTGTACTAGAGACCCTCCAATAGACAGACTCTGTACTAAAGAGTAGACAGACTCTGTACTAGAGACCCTCCAGTAGACAGACTCTGTACTAGAGACCCTCCAGTAGACAGACTCTGTACTAGAGACCCTTCAATAGACACAATCTGTACTAAAGACCCTTCAATAGACATACCCTGTACTAAAGACCCTCCAGTAGACAGACTCTGTACTAGAGACCCTCCAGTAAACAGACTCTGTACTAGAGACCCTTCAATAGACAGACTCTGTACTATAGACCCTCCAGTAGACAGACTCTGTACTAGAGACCCTCCAGTAAACAGACTCTGTACTAGAGACCCTCAAGTAGACATACTCTGTACTAAAGACCCTCCAGTAGACAGACTCTGTACTAGAGACCCTTCAATAGACAGACTCTGTACTAGAGACCCTCCAGTAGACAGACTCTGTACTAGAGACCCTCCAGTAGACAGACTCTGTACTAGAGACCCTTCAATAGACAGACTCTGTACTATAGACCCTCCAGTAGACAGACTCTGTACTAGAGACCCTCCAGTAGACAGACTCTGTACTAGAGACCCTCCAGTAGACAGACTCTGTACTAAAGACCCTTCAATAGACATACCCTGTACTAGAGACCCTCCAGTAGACAGACTCTGTACTAGAGACCCTCCAGTAAACAGACTCTGTACTAGAGACCCTCCAGTAGACAGACTCTGTACTATGAGACCCTAGACCTGTACTATGAGACCCTCCAGTAGACAGACCCTGTACTAAAGACCCTCCAGAGACCCTCCAGTAGACAGACCCTGTACTATGAGACCCTCCATAGACAACCCTGATGACCCTCCAATACCCTCCAGTAGACAGACACTATGAGACCCTCCAGTTGGTATCAGAAATCAATATAAGTCAGAAGTCTATGTTATATTGACCAGAATATGATGAAAATATCTGCCTGGAAGGTCACTGATTGGTCAGTGAGTAACTGTCTCTTTTGTCCATTAATTACAATCTACCTAGTTCATCAGACTTTCTCTAGGACACAGTAATAACAATGTAAGTACAGAAGTAACACACATAGTGCTTTCTGATATTTCCGTGCCACTCCTCAGATAACTGCAATACCTTTATCTTTGTTAAATCTCAACCGAGAGAATAATATTGTGACCAATGTTTTCGTGCACCATTCAATGTACATTCATCCTTTGTCTTTACAGTTTTAAGCCATGAACCATCTCCTCGATGACCATGAGTCATCATATTTGATTTGTACATTTCTGAAATGAAACCAAAATTTGCAGAAAAATTAACTTAAGTCATATTTAAGGTCACAGGAGTCAAAACAGTTAATGACTTCTGTTGATTGACCAACAGAATCATGGTATTCAACTTTTAGCTTGCTTGATTAGAGCCCACCAAAACTTTTGAAAGCATTAGACTTTATACTTACTATACTTAAACACTATACAAAATTCCTCTGATTCAGCTAAAGGCCCATAGAATCATGATATATGTCCTGTAGGTTCCATCCACGAAGCCTCAAATAGCTTTTGAAAAGAAATGACCTGAAGGTCACAGATGTCAACACTATAAAAACAACTTCATTAAATAATCAAATGGCATGGAGAGTTTTAGGCTGAATCACCAGTAGAATTACATTGGGTTTAATGTAATATTTGTATTGTGAAAAGAGTACCAGATGAAAAGAATACCAGGTGATAAATACAGGCCCCTTGAGCATCTATTTTATGATCAGTACATGCACTGCACCCACCATCTGGGTTCATATATCAACTCTCTACCACAGAGCTAAATAAACATCACAACCAGCCAAAGCTTGCAAGGCAATCTGTACTCTCAATTTCCAAACATCTCCCTGCTACAGAAATACCCCAAAGTCTATCAAAATCAAGGTTTCTCAGATCAAAAAGAACATTTTTTCACCACGAGGGATCAACAGCAAGGAATCTGTGATGGAAATACCTGCCCAAGATGGGGCCCAAATTTGTAACAGGAAAGAGTCATGAAAATATTCCTGAAATAGGACCCAAATTTGTAAAAGGAAGGAGTAATGAAAATATTCCTGAGATAGGACCCAAATTTGTAAAAGGAAGGAGTAATGAAAATATTCCTGTCTGAGATAGGACCTAAATTTGTAAAAGGAGAGAGTAATGAAAATATTCCTGAGATAGGACCCAAATTTGTAAAAGGAAGGAGTAATGAAAATATTCCTGAGATAGGACCTAAATTTGTAAAAGGAAAGAGTAATGAAAATATTCCTGTCTGAGATAGGACCCAAATTTGTAAAAGGAAGGAGTAATGAAAATATTCCTGAGATAGGACCTAAATTTGTAAAAGGAAAGAGTAATGAAAATATTCCTGTCTGAGATAGGACCCAAATTTGTAAAAGGAAGGAGTAATGAAAATATTCCTGTCTGAGATAGGACCTAAATTTGTAAAAGGAAAGAGTAATGAAAATATTCCTGAGATAGGACCCAAATTTGTAAAAGGAAGGAGTAATGAAAATATTCCTGTCTGAGATAGGACCTAAATTTGTAAAAGGAAAGAGTAATGAAAATATTCCTGAGATAGGACCCAAATTTGTAAAAGGAAGGAGTAATGAAAATATTCCTGAGATAGGACCCAAATTTGTAAAAGGAAGGAGTAATGAAAATATTCCTGAGATAGGACCCAAATTTGTAAAAGGAAGGAGTAATGAAAATATTCCTGAGATAGGACCCAAATTTGTAAAAGGAAAGAGTAATGAAAATATTCCTGAAATAGGACCTAAATTTGTAAAAGGAAGGAGTAATGAAAATATTCCTGAGATAGGACCCAAATTTGTAAAAGGAAAGAGTAATGAAAATATTCCTGAGATAGGACCCAAATTTGTAAAAGGAAGGAGTAATGAAAATATTCCTGATAGGACCCTAAAAGGAAGGAGTAAGAAAATATTAGGACCCAAATTTGTAAAAGGAAGGAGTAATGAAAATATTCCTGAGATAGGACCCAAATTTGTAAAAGGAAGGAGTAATGAAAATATTCCTGTCTGAGATAGGACCTAAATTTGTAAAAGGAAAGAGTAATGAAAATATTCCTGAGATAGGACCCAAATTTGTAAAAGGAAGGAGTAATGAAAATATTCCTGAGATAGGACCCAAATTTGTAAAAGGAAGGAGTAATGAAAATATTCCTGAGATAGGACCCAAATTTGTAAAAGGAAGGAGTAATGAAAATATTCCTGAGATAGGACCCAAATTTGTAAAAGGAAGGAGTAATGAAAATATTCCTGAGATAGGACCCAAATTTGTAAAAGGAAGGAGTAATGAAAATATTAGGACCCAAATTTGTAAAAGACCCAAATTTGTAAAAGGAAGAGTAATGAAAATATTCCTGAGATAGGACCCAAATTTGTAAAAGGAAGGAGTAATGAAAATATTCCTGAGATAGGACCCAAATTTGTAAAAGGAAGGAGTAATGAAAATATTCCTGAGATAGGACCCAAATTTGTAAAAGGAAGGAGTAATGAAAATATTCCTGTCTGAGATAGGACCTAAATTTGTAAAAGGAAGGAGTAATGAAAATATTCCTGAGATAGGACCCAAATTTGTAAAAAAAGGTAATGAAAATATTCCTGAGAAGGGAGTAATGAAAATATTCCTGAGATAGGACCCAAATTTGTAAAAGGAAGGAGTAATGAAAATATTCCTGAGATAGGACCCAAATTTGTAAAAGGAAGGAGTAATGAAAATATTCCTGAGATAGGACCCAAATTTGTAAAAGGAAAGCAGTAATGAAAATATTCCTGAGATAGGACCCAAATTTGTAAAAGGAAGGAGTAATGAAAATATTCCTGTCTGAGATAGGACCCAAATTTGTAAAAGGAAAGAGTAATGAAAATATTCCTGAGATAGGACCCAAATTTGTAAAAGGAAGGAGTAATGAAAATATTCCTGAGATAGGACCCAAATTTGTAAAAGGAAGGAGTAATGAAAATATTCCTGAGATAGGACCCAAATTTGTAGTAATGAAAATATTCCTGAGATAGGAAATTTGTAAAAGGAAGGAGTAATGAAAATATTCCTGTCTGAGATAGGACCTAAATTTGTAAAAGGAAAGAGTAATGAAAATATTCCTGAGATAGGACCTAAATTTGTAAAAGGAAGGAGTAATGAAAATATTCCTGAGATAGGACCCAAATTTGTAAAAGGAAGGAGTAATGAAAATATTCCTGAGATAGGACCTAAATTTGTAAAAGGAAAGAGTAATGAAAATATTCCTGAGATAGGACCCAAATTTGTAAAAGGAAGGAGTAATGAAAATATTCCTGAGATAGGACCTAAATTTGTAAAAGGAAAGAGTAATGAAAATATTCCTGTCTGAGATAGGACCCAAATTTGTAAAAGGAAAGAGTAATGAAAATATTCCTGAGATAGGACCCAAATTTGTAAAAGGAAGGAGTAATGAAAATATTCCTGAGATAGGACCCAAATTTGTAAAAGGAAGGAGTAATGAAAATATTCCTGAGATAGGACCCAAATTTGTAAAAGGAAGGAGTAATGAAAATATTCCTGAGATAGGACCTAAATTTGTAAAAGGAAAGAGTAATGAAAATATTCCTGTCTGAGATAGGACCTAAATTTGTAAAAGGAAGGAGTAATGAAAATATTCCTGAGATAGGACCCAAATTTGTAAAAGGAAGGAGTAATGAAAATGTTCCTGTCTGAGATAGGACCCAAATTTGTAAAAGGAAGGAGTAATGAAAATATTCCTGCCCAAAATGGGGCCCAAATTTGTAACAGGAAAGAGTTGCCAAAGACCTGTTAAAAGAGATGTAACTCCAATGTTTAGGAAAGAGGGATTGAAATGCTATCAAAGACGGGCCCAGACTTAAGCAACTTAATCAATAGACACAGAGATTACCACCAGCTAAAAGGCAGTCTGTACCATGAAAGTTTCAGAATGCTTATAGTGTTCTGAGCTACCATCAATTGGCCTTTCTATTGTTCTCCAGTGTCAGAACATAGTTGGTTTTTGTCGTTCCTCCACTGAATGGAAGATTCTCCATTTTTAATTATTATTATTATTACTATCTTAACGGCCCGTCAACACATAAAAGGTCAGTAGGGCCATCAACCGGTGAAACACACAGCGATCTGAAAAGTAAATAAAATCACACAAACTATAAGGTAAAAGACAAATGCTAAAAATCTTAAATGGTTATATTATCACAAAAGATTAAAATGGTAAGTCATAGTGTATAACATAGCCAACATATTTCAGATGTTAGTCTAGTTGTAGATAGAATTTGTTAAACATGACTGCCTCCACATTGAAAAATGTTGTTCATAGAGTTGGATCAACACTGGACTTTTTTGATATGTTGTGTTTTGAGTATATAGACAAAACATCAAATGGACCTACATATTCTATAAGACATTAAAGATGGTTGTCCAAATTATTCTGGAATTTTTTAAACTTTTTTGTATTGGTCTGTTGTCATTGACTAAGCACTTTCAAATGCATGCTAATATTAAGCAAGTTGTATCAGGATTTCTTCTATATGTTATGCTTCAAAAGTATATTGTTCCAAAGTTTGGACCTGGGGATCTGTATACATGTCATTCAAGATGGCTGAAAATGTGTAATCTTTCAATTTGTGAATGTGTATGGATCACAAACTATCCTGACTAATAATTGGATTTAAGTGATCACAATCATGATGGCCACGATTTGCCGTCATCTGGAAAAATATGTTATTGCTACTACATCTTTTGAGTAGAAACCATTTGGAGACAGGACTTTCATGAATAATTTGTGTTTGGTCCACAAATGGTCTGAACTTTGGACTCTTTGAAATAAAATGATAGAAATCACAGCATAAGGTAATGGTGATCTATATCTAATGATTGTAGTGATATCATTTTACTATTAGCTGTCCACACATCTAATTCCTTTGATCATGACTACAAAAGTCAAACTCCAGGAGAACCCCTACTTCATCAAGATATTTCACTGGTCATTTCTGATCAACATATTGACATATTCAAACTCCTCGTCCATAAAGACCACCTTCCCCTACTGTTGTGTCGTGACGCTTCATTAAGCTCACAGGAAAGTGTGCTCATTAGTTTTTAACTTTGATTTTTTTTTTCACCTGAGCAATTGAGAAGTGATTTAGCTCCATCAATAGCTGTGAACCTAGCAAGCCTCTTAGCTTTCCTCAGGTATTTAATTCTACTTCAGCGAACATCACATAGAGCAGTGATTAGATTTTGTCTGTAGTCTCTGCTGTTTGACATACTCTTGGTAAAACTAATATCCTGGTAAGGATCATGGCCGATGCTACGGATCCTCTCATCAATACTCACCTGTGGAATGGGACATAACACCTACCTATGACATGGTTCAGAAACATACCTGTGTCATGGTTCAAAAACCCACCTGTGACATGGTTCAGAAACCTAACTGCAACATGGTTCAGAAACATACCTGTGTCATGGTTCAGAAGCATACATATGTCATGGTTCAGAAACATACCTGTGACATGGTTCAGAAACATACCTGTGTCATGGTTCAGAAACATACCTGTGTCATGGTTCAGAAACCTACCTGTGTCATGGTACTAGCATGATATCTACCTGTGTCATGGTTCAGAAACATACCTGTGACATGGTTCAGAAACCTACCTGTGACATGGTTCAGAAACCTACTTGTGTCATGGTTCAGAAACATACCTGTGACATGGTTCAGAAACCTACCTGTGTCATGGTTCAGAAACCTACTTGTGACATGGTTCAGAAACCTAACTGCAACATGGTTCAGAAACATACCTGTGTCATGGTTCAGAAACATACATATGTCATGGTTCAGAAAGATACCTGTGACATGGTTCAGAAACATACCTGTGTCATGGTTCAGAAACCTACCTGTGTCATGGTACTAGCATGATATCTACCTGTCATGGTTCAGAAACATACCTGTGACATGGTTCAGAAACCTACCTGTGTCATGGTTCAGAAACCTACCTGTGACATGGTTCAGAAACCTAACAGCAACATGGTTCAGAAACATACCTGTGTCATGGTTCAGAAACATACATATGTCATGGTTCAGAAACCTACTTGTGACATGGTTCAGAAACCTAACTGCAACATGGTTCAGAAACATACCTGTGTCATGGTTCAGAAACATACATATGTCATGGTTCAGAAAGATACCTGTGACATGGTTCAGAAACATACCTGTGTCATGGTTCAGAAACCTACCTGTGTCATGGTACTAGCATGATATCTACCTGTGTCATGGTTCAGAAACATACCTGTGACATGGTTCAGAAACCTACCTGTGTCATGGTTCAGAAACCTACCTGTGACATGGTTCAGAACCCTAACAGCAACATGGTTCAGAAACATACCTGTGTCATGGTTCAGAAACATACATATGTCATGGTTCAGAAACATACCTGTGACATGGTTCAGAAACATACCTGTGTCATGGTTCAGAAACCTACCTGTGTCATGGTACTAGCATGATATCTACCTGTGTCATGGTTCAGAAACATACCTGTGACATGGTTAAGAAACCTACCCATGACATGGTTCAGAAACCTACTTGTGTCATGGTTCAGAAACATACCTGTGACATGGTTCAGAAACCTACCTGTGTCATGGTTCAGAAACCTAACTGCAACATGATTCAGAAACATACCTGTGTCATGGTTCAGAAACATACATATGTCATGGTTCAGAAACATACCTGTGACATGGTTCAGAAACATACCTGTGTCATGGTTCAGAAACCTACCTGTGTCATGGTTCTAGCATGATATCTACCTGTGACATGGTTCAGAAACCTACCTATGACATGGTTCAGAAACCTACCTGTGACATGGTTCAGAAACCTACTTGTGTCATGGTTCAGAAACATACCTGTGACATGGTTCAGAAACCTACCTGTGTCATGGTTCAGAAACCTACCTATGCCATGGTACTAGCATGATATCTACCTGTGACATGGTTCAGAAACCTACCCATGACATGGTTCAGAAACC